TACCACTCTGCATCCTGGTGGCAGGACATGCTAACTGCAAGTTAATAATCTAGAGCAATGAACAACGCAAAGCATAATAATTCTCATATAAGGCCACAGAATAAAATCACGTGGGGAACTCTAAAATTGGTGGTGCGTGCCTGTAATCTCAGTACTTGGGAGGCTGAGGCAGGAGGACTACTGTAAGTTCTAGGTCAACTTGAGCTACAATAGTGAGTTCAAAGCCAGCCTGAGATACACTGTGAGATCCTATCTGAAATAAAATAATTCCCAGGGTCAGCCAGACAGCTAAGTGCACTAAAGTGCCTGCTTAGGTAGGTGCAGGGACTAGGGTTCAACATCCAGCATGCCACGCCAGCCCCACCCCCGGGGCACACTGAGAAGCGATTGAGACTGGCTATGGTGGTGTGCGCCTGTAATCTCAGCACTTCGGAGGCTGAAAATAGGAGAATCACTACGAGTTCCATCTGTGTAGTGAGATTCTGTAGACCCTATACTAAATACATTTAAAAAACCCCAATTTCTGGGGCCGGGGAGATGGCTCAGTGGAATAAGCGCTTCCCTGGCAAGCGTAAGGGCCTGAGTTCAATCGCCAGTTCCGCAAACAAAACAAAACAAAACAAAACAACCCAATTCCCAGTGTATGACCATAGTAATTACCCCAGACCAATTACACAAGAATTTCTAATGCAGGACCCAGGATCAACTAAGAAGCACTGTTCTAAAGAAAAGACTCAAGTCAACAACTTCTGACACTGCCAGTCTTGCGGATAACCCACTACTATATAGACTACTAGACTATATTGGATTACCCTGCTGAATTCATGCACCTACAATATATGAATGGCAATGGAATACACATCTCTGACAAAAGTAAACAAAAAAGGGGATATAAATGGACCACTTTGTAGTGGAAAAATATATATCTGTATATTCAAAATAGCATAAATATACAGCTACTTTCTCTTCAATGAGGTTTTAAACTAATATTGTTTATTTTTTATTTAAACTAATATTGTTTAGACAAGATATCATGTCTACATCTTGTACTAGGAACAGCTACTACAAAGACAACAATATGCAATGTATTAATTATTGTAACTGTACTCCTAACCTGTTTTGAACTATCTCATTGCTACTTCTTTCTCAATAAAATTATTAAAATATAAAAAAAATAAAGACTGATTTTTTTTGGCATCATCTATAAAGTAAACTAAAGAGTTAATATGTAAAGAACTTTTCAGACCAACAAAGTACCTCTCAGTGTCCTGCAGTTAAACAGAATCTTGGATTCCCTTTGGAGATAAACAAGAACCCACTTAACTTTGAATAGTAACAAAGGTACCTTATCTCGGCCCCAGAGTCTTGGCTGAGACTCTGGGAACTGAAGGATGTCAAAGGCAGTCTCTTTGATAATAACTGGATTCAAAATCCTAAAGTGTTTTGGCTCTAGTGGGATTTTTTCAGCCACCTGTTTCCAGAAGAAGAGTCGCATCCAAAATGGCTAAGGAAAGAAAGCAACAATCATTAGCGTCAAAGTCCCCCACTGGGAGAGGATTACAAAGCATTCCCTGTTAATTAGGTCAAGGCTACGGGCACAACCCCGCATAACCTTGGGCCCAGTGTTTTGCAGCATAGTCATTAAGAGCTGTAGAACTACAGCACCTCAGCTCAGAAAAACTACTTTGAAAGACACAATTTACAGACGTGGCACCGGACAAGGAAAGAAATTATAGACCCAGTTCTTACTTGTTTATGGAGAAAATTTCTCAGGAAGCCTTTGTAAGGTCTAGGGCTTTCATTCTGCCCAACAAGTAGGTCCAACTTCAGGGTGTTAAGTACTGGGAGAGCCCTGCCGGATGGGGCCCACCTTGCACCCTCTCTCCATTGACTTTATTTTCTAATCCTGTAAGGTTGCTAGGCAACTGACTATAAATCATTCCCCATGTGCTTCACCTTCCCATTACATTGTCCACTCAGTAGAAACCCCAGAAGATCAGAGCTGTATGGAATCAAGCTTCGGAGATGTAAATTCTCCATCACATGGAGATGACCTGAAAAATCTAGTATGTCCTGGGAGTTCCGAAAAATGCACACATACGCCTCCCCAGCTGACTACTGACATTTATTCAATACACTGAGTGGAACTATAAAGCAATGTGAAGAGCCGGGGAGATGGCTCAGTAGAATAAGCGCTTCCCTGGCAAGCGCGAGGGCCTGGGTTCAATCCCCGGTTCGGCAAAAAAAAAAAAAAAAAAAAGCAATGTGAGTGATTACTGTAGAGGCCAGCTGAAGGAAGATGACCAAGCGAGGGCAGCGCCTCCACATTAGCCCCCAGGGATGCCGCGAATGGAGTCCAACCTGGGACCACTGACTTAAGCATTTTAGAGGAATCTTTGGAATTTTATGTCTATTCTTCTGACTACCTTAAAAATGGCTTACATTTATCCAAGTACATCTCATTTTTGGAACTACACAAAAACCATGCAAATCCAAATCTGGAGGATAAGGTGGTGACCAACCTCAACAATAGAAATTTGGGCCCCACACCATTTTTACATGTGGCTCTAAGGTTCTGAAAGTAATTCTCAGCAAGGAGTTGTAAGGCATTTCTAAGATGAGGGTGGTTCTCATTGGAAAAAACAGGATAAAAGCATACCTCCCACTGTGCATGTTTAACAACAAAAGTTTAAAGACCCCTTCACATTTGACCAAGGCGCACTTGTTGGATGAACTTTTGGTGCTTACCAGGGTTTCACGTTTTAGCATTGCTTGAAGCCAACTGAAATCAACGCTCTTAAATAGAACAGTGACAAACAGGTCATTGGCATAATACTCAGCACCAGACAGCGGGGCGCCTTCTGGGTAGGTCATCCTTATAGTAGTTTTATTTCCAACATGCTCAGAATATCCCTCCACTGGTGCATTGTTTAACCTAGTGACATAAACAGGAAAGAGACA